TATTTATCTTTGAGAGACAGAGCAAGACAGAACATGAGTGGGGGAGGGGCAGAGAGAGGTGGGTACACAGAATCCAAAGCAGGCTCCAGGCTCTGATCTGTCAGCACAGAGCCTGACGCGGGGCTCGAACCCACGAACCGTGAGATCATGATCTGAGCCAAAGTCGGATGCTCAACCCACTGAGCCACCCAGGCGCCCCGTTAACCATTTTAAAGTATATGGTTCAGTGGCATTAAGTATATTCACATTATTCTACAACTATCAACACCATCCATCTCCAGGACTTTTTCAGGTTCCTAAACTGAAACTCTGTCCCCATGAATCAGGAATCCTCATGCTTCGCTCTCCCCAGTCCCTGGCGACCATCATTCTACTTTCTTTCTCTGTGAATTTGGCTACTATAGATCCCTCATATAAGTGTAATCATATGGTATGTGTCCTTTTATATCTGGTTTCTTTCACTTAACATTATGTCTTCAGAGTTCACCCATGTTGTAGCACGTGTCAGAATTTCCTTTCTTTTCAAAGCTGAGTAATATTTCATTATCTGTATACACACCACATCTTGCTTATCCATTCATCCATCCACGGATATTGGGGTCATTTCCATCTTTCGGCTATTGTGAATAATGCTGCTATGAACACTGATATACAAATATCTTTTCAAGTCCAAGCTTCCAGTCCTTTTTTTATGTATCCACAAGTAGGATTGCTGGGTCATATGGTAAATTATAAGTTTAATGTTTTGAGGAACTGCCATACACTGTTTTCCGCAGCAGCTATACCATTTTACATTCTCACCAGAAAGGCACATATATTCATCTTTCGTTACTAAACAGTGCCTGTTCTCAAGTATGGCATAAATCACTAGCTTTTGCATATAAAATGTGAAGTATTAATATGGATACTAGAATAATCAGTATTAAATTTGTTGTGACTATAGTTTTTGCAGAAGAATTTAACTTGTGCTAGGTAGCAAATGTTTCTGACTGCTCCTGATTCATTGCTGTATCATTTCATCTCTTATTTTTGGAATCTCCATGGAGAGGTAGACATAATTATGCGTTTCAGTAGCTATGAAACATTTTTGTTCACAAGGACTCTGGTCTCAGAGTTTATTAATAAAACTGCTTTTTTTTGTTTTGTAAAATACATTTGATATCCACAATCAAAAGTGATTAGAAAACTCATTGATTAGCACATTTATAGAGTGCTGATTATGTGTAAAGGTCCAGTCCTTGATAGATACAGAGAAACATTATGATATGGTCCTTACCCTCAAGAGCTATACAATCGAAGGCCATGAGACATAAACACATGAAAATCACATTACTGGGCCAAAGTTAAATAATAATGGCATGTAGGACAAAAATGATACCATGCTAACATGTGACTGATTAATCGCCCACTGAAAATTTTAGGCAGTAGATACCCTGAGCTCAGCTCAAAGGAAAAGGACCATTATGGCAGGAGGTATCTGTGAAGTTTATTCTGAGCAAGATATTGAAGAATACATAAAATTTAGACAGAGAGAAGGGGAAAGACCTTCCAGTTAAGGAGGAACGACATTAGAAGTGTCAGACATTTTTATTGCCTGAGTCACTAATTGGCATTAATTGGCATGGTCCTGGGACCAAAAACAGATCAAATCTATTTAACAAAGTTACAAGTAAGTCCCCCCATCTGTACATTAATGCTACCATGCTCCCTGGGTGGTGATGGGAGTAGTAATAGCGGTGGCAGTAGAAACTATAGTAAATGGATATTTATTAAGAGCTTTCTAGGTGCCAGGCACTGTGCTAAACACTTATTACCCATATTGTCTCCATTCGTTAGCAACCCTATGAGCTGGGAGCTGGGGGCTATTACTCTTTTTTATGGATGAGGCAATGGAGACTCCGAGAACCGAAGTAACTTGCCCACAGTCACACAGAGCAGTAGAGTCAGTTCTGATTTACCTCCAGGCAGTTTGGTTTTTAGAAACAGCACATGTTACCTACCACTGGGCAAACCACCATAGCACTAAATGTGGAAGAGGCTAGTGATCTGGAAACTTTGCAACTTTTCTGTGTAGCTGCTGTTTAACATCCTGGCAATCCCTGGTTATGTGCTGGAATGGTGTGTAAATTCTGCTATAAGGCTGCTTGCAGAGTGATGGACTAGTAGTTTGTTCCTAGTGAGGCCTTGCTTTAACTTAATAGCTTTTGTAGGTGTTCAGGAGGAGAGATAATGGGGGTAATCTCTTCTGTATTTAGCTGAGTAATGACCTTAAACTTGTGTATTCACAGTTGAAAGATAGCATGCATATATGATTTTCTTCTGATGAAAACTACTCTGTTCAAGAGACTAATATCCATTGCTTTTTGGTGGGAAGGAGAAGTTAAAAATAATTTTTGCCCCTTGGGTGACGAGACTAGCCCTGCTGCTTAGTTTTGTGGTTCAGTTCCCCTGATGTGGTTACAAGGCATGTTTTGGCTATGATCGTTTTCGATTATTTTAATAAGTTGTGTTTCTATGATTTGTGCATGGTGTCATATACTGTTGACATGAAATACACCTTTTTTTTTTTTTTTTTTTTTTTTTTTTTTTTTTTTTTTTTTGAGTAAAGATAGCATGACTCAACAGATTAGGGGTACCGAAAGTATGACTTAGCATGCTGGTTGGGCCATGGAAACTCAAGCAAGTCAGCTCAGTTTCGTGTCCTGTAAACAGAGATAAGTGTCAGTTTGTCTATTTCAGAGGGTGGTTATGGAAATTACTAGCCTTTAAAAGATTGTTAATCTCGGTGTGGGGAGACTTGGCTTTTGGAGAACATTGACTCAAGAGCAAATGTATCTACCTCCTGAATTTTGAGTGAGACATTAAAGCCTTGAGATTTTCCCAAATGGAATCTTGCCATATGGAAAGGTAGGGTTGGATGCAAATTTGTTTGTGAAGGGGTTGAGACGGGGAGTAAGAGTGGAACTCTCCTTGGAAGCCATTGAAGTAAAGGATATAGTGAATGTTGAGCGTTTTTCACTGTTCTTGTGATGGCTGAAAGTGTATGGAAAGTGATTTTTTTTTTTTTTAATTTCAGAATGCATGATTTCATAGGATATAGACAACTGGCTTAAGCCAACATTTCTGGACAGTAAGAAACTGCAAATCAAGGAAGAAGTGCTTAGAAATATTTTCACATAAAGAGGTACTTAAGTCTAAATAGCAGTGTTTTCTTTTTATGTATGTGTGTATGCATGTTTGCATTTTATTTATTTATTTATTTTTTTAATTTTTTTTTCAACGTTTTTTATTTATTTTTGGGACAGAGAGAGACAGAGCATGAACGGGGGAGGGGCAGAGTGAGAGGGAGACACAGAATCGGAAACAGGCTCCAGGCTCCGAGCCATCAGCCCAGAGCCGGATGCGGGGCTCGAACTCACGGACCGCGAGATCGTGACCTGGCTGAAGTCGGACGCTTAACCGACTGCGCCACCCAGGCGCCCCTTTATTTTTTTTTAATAGCGGTATGTTCTTAATTTTTTAACTACTTTTTCATCAAAATCGTAACATTCTTGGGCTAGAGCATTTAGATAAGACCTGTCAAGTGCTGTGTTTATGTCCAGTAGACCATGCCCAGGAGGGGCAGTCCTGTTTGCTACTGTGTGGCTGTAGATGAGAAAACGGACTTTTTGTCCAACATTAAACATGCCTTATATGCAATATAGTTCTTTTGTAGACAACATAGACAGCTCTGAAGCTGTACTCACTGGTAACACGGAGTCACAGTTTTAGACATCTTTGGCGTCACTACTATAATGAAGTAAAGAATTTGGGTTAGATATTTTAAGGTCTGTCATGCTCTTAAGGTGAAGCAAAGTGATGTGGTACGTGAAGGGGGAAGCAGTGCCCCACTAAAAGCATAACCCAAGGACTGACCAGGAGTCTGAATTCACATTTCATTTGGCAGTGTTGGATTTTTTTTTTAATCTTCTACCAAGAAGAGTTGATATGCCACATTATTACACTTGGGTGTAGTTTAGTGTGCAGTTGAGAGACTGAGAAACAGGGTGGTTCTTAGTAGGCTGTGAAACTGTGGCATGGTGTATTATGATAATGGATTTATCAGCTGCGGTCAAGTTTTGCACTTGGAATGCTTAGAGTAAATTTATGAATTGGTGAACTATAATTCTACAGATTCATTCTGAAACTTTAATTAGCTTATTTTCCTTACTTTTCATCCCAAGAAGGCATCCACTAAGGTATAGTACATAATGGTCAGAGGAGGTTAAGTGAGATAAAATTACAGGTATGCATACTTTATGATAAATGAAATTAGATACGCCATACAGGATGAGACTGTCTAGCTTAATTGTATTGCCTTGGACAATGTCCCTGAAGTGTTTTTATGGACAAGATAGCTGTCATTCATGACTTCAGTGGCAAAAGATTGTTTAATGGAATACTTTACAAACCTGAAAAATGATTATTATGTAGATATGTATTTATTGGTATAGAAAGTTTTTCATGAGCTATTTAGCAAAAAGGCAGGTTGCGCAACTACCTAAAAGTAGTTTAATTTCGTTAAAAAGTTATGTATCTACATAGCATGGGAAAATGGCCCAGAAAAATTACACACCATTAGGTGCATCCTCAGGCTTAACCTACTTGCTACATCTGTTGACCACAGCTTCCTGCTCTGGCTGTGGCTCTAGTATGATATGATGTGCTTCTGATATCAATAGCTTTTGATAACACCTATTTACATGCTAGCTTACCCAATAAAACAAGAAACTACATCTACATGGAAACTACATGGGATTACAGGTCTCTCACTGATTTTCAACTGGAAATTTTTAAAAATTTGGAATGTCTATCACTTACATTTTTAAAAAACAATTATTTAGAAAGAAGCTTATTAATAGACCTTCATCCATTCATTAATTTAATCATTCCTGGAGGGAAAAATGTATCCCACAGAGTAATTATGTTTTATTAGGGCACACTTATGCTGCAGATGAGAGAGATTTGGAAAACAAAACAAACTAAAGTCCCAGGTACCTGAAATGTCTGAAAATCTGGCAAGATTTGGGTATAGTGGGGGTTTTCCTAAAAAGGAAGCTTTCTGGTGATGGTGTTAGGAATCCACAAAGCAGAAGTTAAATGGGCTTTAATAAACAAATAAACACTGGTGTCTGCGTGGCTTAGTTAAGCGTCTGACTCTTGATTTCGGCTCAGGTCATAACCTCACGGTTGTAAGATCCAGCCCTGCATCAATCTCTGAGCTGGGCGTGGAGCCTGCTTAAGATTTTCTGTCTGTCTCTCTCTCTCTCTCTCTGTCTGTCTCTCTCCTCCTCTGCTCCTTCTTGCTCTCTCTGCCCCTCCCCTGCTCTTTTTTTTTTTTTTAATTTTTTTTTCAACGTTTATTTATTTTTGGGACAGAGAGAGACAGAGCATGAACGGGGGAGGGGCAGAGAGAGAGGGAGACACAGAATCGGAAACAGGCTCCAGGCTCTGAGCCATCAGCCCAGAGCCTGACGCGGGGCTTGAACTCACGGACCGCGAGATCGTGACCTGGCTGAAGTCGGACGCTTAACCGACTGTGCCACTCAGGCGCCCCTCCCCTGCTCTTTTTAAAAACAAATAAACAAACAATAAAAAATAAACTTGTAAAAATTGAGAAAGCTAGTAATCCTAAGAGATTCTTTGAAGCTATTCAAGAGCTTTTCCTCTTTAGACTTGTTTTGTTGGTATGTTGTTAACCTCCTCCACCTGCCTCACCCCCAAATTCAGTCTACACATTTCTCTTTTGTCCTTTTTAAGAAAGACCAAGATCTAAAACTGTTCTTTCTGAACACTTGGTGTTTCTTCATTACCTGTCCTATCTTTTCTGCTTTCATCTGAGCTTCTCAAAGGCATGGTCTTTACTGTCTTCACTTATTTCCTTCATTCCCTGTGCTATGGTTTCTATGCCCTCTCTGTACTGAAACTGCTTCCCTTAAGGTAACAAACTTCTAATTGCCCAGTCCTTTAAGGATTAAAAAATTCTCATCATTTTTCACCTCTTGTATTCGCAGTGATCTATCAAGTTTTCTTTTTTTTTTATTTATTTTTATTTTTTTTAATTTTTTTTTTTTCTTTCAACGTTTATTTATTTTTGGGACAGAGAGAGACAGAGCATGAACGGGGGAGGGGCAGAGAGAGAGGGAGACACAGAATCGGAAACAGGCTCCAGGCTCCGAGCCATCAGCCCAGAGCCTGACGCGGGGCTGGAACTCACGGACCGCGAGATCGTGACCTGGCTGAAGTCGGACGCTTAACCAACTGCGCCACCCAGGCGCCCCTATCAAGTTTTCTTTTATCCATATAAGAGGAGGCTGACCTGAGCAAGGTCAGTCATGAGCTAACCATTGTCCCCCACCTGCAGTCAAGCCTCCTGCCTCACCTGCTCTCCCCACATGTCTTTTCTGTTTTAGCAGTATCACTTCATAGCCATGCTTCATGTCTCTTGTGCCTGTTCACGTTCTGTTTCCTGTGCCTGGAATACTCTTCTCCATCCTGTTAACCTAGTCTTCATTGTCTTTCAAAATGGCTCACGATTTACCTTCAGCCTCCTTGATCATGCTTCCAAAAGTGAATCGCTTCTGTTTGAATTCACTATTTCTGTGTGGCGTATTTCAGGTTTGTGTTATCTCTGTGAATTTCCTTCTAGATTGTGGATGCTCTGAGGGCAGAGTTTGGATTTTACTCATTCTCACTTTCTTTCAGCGTTTAGTCCAGCATTTGACATAGATCTGGTGTCTGGTTCATCTTTGTTTTTGTTTTCAGGATTTTTTTATTTTTTGTTTTTTGTTCATCTTTGTTGAATGAAACTAAATGAGGCTGTAAGCTTTGTGAGGGCACACATTTCATGAACAAACGGACAGGCAAATAAGCCTAATGGGAACCACTTGATAAAGTGCAAAAAAAGAGCAGAGAAAACTAAGTTTATTTGTTGTCCCCAATTTTATTAAACAAGTGATAAAGAGATTCTTATTCTCAGATTGTCTTGTAAGGGAAATAGGCACCTAAGTGCAGAAAGATGAAGGGAACAAAGTGTCATCTGACCAAAGGAAGCTAAAAGTGAATTGGTAGAGCCTCTCCCAAAATGTTTAGTTTAAGTTTTGTTTTCAAGTATTTGGTAACAAAATACCGGCAGGTAGCTTTTAGAGTGTGGTTTTGCTGCCCTTCTCCGATGAATAGATAAGATGGGTTAGCTGTATATAAGTCGGTCCCATGTCAGATGGCTGAAAATAATATAAAACTACCTAGGAGTGTTTCCCTCTTCTCCATTAGTTTAATGCTATGAAAACTCTTCCTTGATATTTAGGCTCATCCTAAATTAATGCATATTTCGAATTATTATGATTTATTTTTTAGAACTGTGAATCTGGGGGCACCTGGGTGGCTCAGTCGTTAAGCATCCGATTTCGCCTGAGATCATGATCTCACGGTTCCTGAGTTCGAGCCCCACGTCGGGCTCTGGGCTGACCACTCAGAGCCCGGAGCCTGCTTTGGATTCTGTGTCTCCCTCTCTCTCTGCCCCTCCGCTGCTCACTCTCTCTCTCTCTCTCTCTCTCTCTCTCTCTCTCTCTCTCTCTCTCTTAAAAATAAGTAAACATTAAAAACAACAACTATGAATCTGTTCCCAACCATTTACCCTTGCAGTAATGTGCATCCTGCACACGAAGCACCTTCCTGCTTCAGGAAGCACCGCTCTTTTTGGTCGTCTCCACAGTGACAGGTGCCTGGGAAGCCCAGAGCTCCCGGAGCATCCCTGGGCTTACGGCTTTGTAAGCTCTGCCTCCTGGAGTCCTTGTGGTTCCAAAGTCACAGTAGTTTTGATACAGCTTGGGTAATTTGTATAAAATATTTAGTTAACTTTTATTAACCCATTTAACTTGGCTAGCAAAGGAAGTGACCCTGCAGGCCTGAGGGTATTCTTCCAACCCCTCTGTACACGTCACGGTGGACTTTTGCTTCACCTTTGTTAAGGCCCTGGGGAGCCTGTGTGCTCTGGCTCTGTCTTACCCTCCCCTCGTTTAGTCTTGTTCTGCGGCTCAGGTGGGTTTCATTCTTTCTTTTTCTTTGCCAGTTGCTGTGTTACAAAAGTATTTATTTCCTTTTGGCCACCATGCTATTTCTCTTTTCTTCTTCCTTCCCTAATTC